TCAGAATTTTTCTTTGTCCCACGCTCGTGTCATGTTGATTAATTCACCTTCACATTTCATTACCGAGCTTAAAATTCACCATCTTTATTAACTTATAACGTAAGTATTGTTCTGTAAGTCGAGTGTCGTAATAAGACCTGCAATATAACCAATGCAAGTAACTGTATGTTTTGTAAATTAAAATTATTATTAAAAAAATTCTTACCTTTTGTAAAGTTTTCTAGCCTTTTTAATCCCTTTTGTCGTGACTGCCCATTCGACATACTTCTCCTTCAGTGGAGTCCTGATGTCGAGACACGATTCTAACGAAAGCTGAAACAAGACACAAGTATATGAACTATCAGCAAAAGTATGGCCGTCTCTCGACTCTTTATTTTGTGCAAAACGACTACATATGGTAATGGAGAAGCCAGGCAACACAAATCCAAACTACGATAATGATAGACTAGCCAATATCTAATTTCCTACAAGTTAAACGGTAGCCTGCGAAAACTTCCGTCCTCAAGGCTATAGCAAGTTGAGTTCTCTTAGTTCCGTTTACTAAGTTCCAATTGATTTATTCATAAGACTAGTACAAAATGCTTTAGCCAAGCCATAGTTAACTGAGGGAAATGGTTAGGAAACTTAGCAAAGTTCTTTGCTGTATGTTTTTGTTTGTTATTTTGGGGGTGACCCTGCACAAAGCCTGGCAAAATGCAAAAGGTGGTTAGGTATGCTCTTACAACTAACCAAAAGAAGCATTGCGATTATGTAATGCATGCATACTCGACGAGCATAAAACAAAAGATGTGTAGGGTCAAGGACCTCCATAAATCTAGGCCTGTTTGTTAGCTTTTCCCTCTATTAACTATGGCCAAGCAAAACAATTTCACAAAGGGTTTCTTCAAGGGCCGGATTTTACCGGCCTGGTTTAAATCATCTAGAAGAGAGTTTAGTTCAAAGCAATTTGCCCGCCTGTGAAAACCAATTGCCCTCCTATGAAAACGTTAATAAAACTTTGTTACAAAGTACGTTCATTTCGAACAATCACAGAAAAAAGAACCGTGACCTGTTCTGTCGCCCATCTTCTCGATTTAACAGCACCGATCGTACGGTAGCATGTTATTACCTGGACTAACCATATGGTACAACCCTGATACTGTAACAGACAACAAAGCACTGCTCTAGCAATTTATGAACAAGTAGGTCATGTTCGTCTGGAACCAAAACTTTGTCTGCCATTCTTCTGCATGCCCTCGTTCCCAGGCCTCCAAGAGGGAATATGAGAGTGCCTGGGAACGAGGCTGCATCTAATTATATCACGTCAGCCCTAGCCGCAGTACAAACGAACCAAATGACACAACAACAAGTAAACTTACTTCAAACACCTCTCCTACTTGTCCTGGATTGCTGGCGACACACCAGTCTATCCACTGAGTCCACAGTGACAGTGAGTCCTACAAAACAAGTAGGAAGTAACATCTATAAACTTACCATGTTCACAGGTACATGTAGCAATTTATGCGCAATTTTTTGAACATCACAATATATGACTCTTTTTAATTTCCTAGTAAACAGTAGTCATTCTTGTATTTGGAGTAGTGAAACTGAAGCCCTTGGATGGAATATTTGTCTATTTCAGTTCTCGGGTACCCATATATACACCTGCGTAAAGAGAGGCACTGTGAAAGTAAAGTGTCGCCTCAATTTCAACTCTAAAACGCAATGACCCCAAGTGGCTTTGACTCTGGACGATTCAACTCCGCATCCAGATTCTTCCACGCTTATACATGTGTATGTACCACAAGACTTTTGTCTGTCTTTGTTTATCCTACGTAGCTCGGAGGTTTGAGCAATTTTTTGAGCAATTTTTTAAGCAATTTGAGCGCGAGAGCATAAACCGCCAAGCTACACAAGCTAGTCTTTGTTGGAAGGACCTTTATTACTTTGTAGGCCAAACGATTATTCCAGGCTTGAGTTTTCTTACCTTGGAATCCACGCATTTTAAGGCGTTTGAAAATTCATTATGAATCTTCTCTGGTTTACCTGTGAACGAAAATCAAAGGCAGATCAGCCTTCCAGAAACTTCAGAGAACAGAAGAAGCAGAACAAATAAGGTTGCAAGATGACTAGAGCTGAGGTGTATGTATTACATGTACACATACATTTTTCTGGCTATTAAATTCCTCTCATGGTAAAAATGTATAAATTTAACACGGTTTCAAATGCAGACGTTTGTCATTCTTACCTTGATTAAGGACTTGTAATCTCATATATTCACTCCACAAACTCACTGAGGTTTTAAATGACTGGGTCCCTCTTTTACACACTGACAAGGCCTGTTTCGGCCGTGCAGCTTGAAGCAGAACGCTGACCTACATGTACACCATATGAATGTAAAACACTTGAAAAGTAATAAAGGTATAACGTTCTTATAATTTGTTAAAGTAAGCGAAGTATTCATACCAAGTGTTGCAAACTTTCCTCTCCTTGCGGGAGTGTTCCAGTGAAAATTACTCAAAGGTTAACTCAGTAACCTGGCAGATTATTGCAAAACCTTCAACAATCAATATTTGGTGAGGACCCTTAGAAGTATTTTTTGACCTGCTGCAATTCATTATTATTGACACCTTGTCCTCATAACGTACATGTAACTGTCAGAAAGAGCTAGATTCTAGATATTTATCTAATTTGTACTGCAAGTACATCATTCAGAAATACATACATGTGCAAGTAAACTGGACTAAAAAAATTGAAATGATATGGCTGATTGGTCATTTTGCCACTCACCCATGTTTTATAAAGATCTTCATTAAGAAGTTTGGCTTTTTCTGCTTCTGAAAATAACTGAAAAACATTCTGCACTCTCTGTGGAGCAAAATCATCAAAAAGATATATGTATTAATGAACAGGTCGGAAAAATACATAATAACAAATACATTTAGCATCAACAACTTTATCAGCCGCAGATCCAGGAAGTTCAGAAACAGAAGCAATGTTGGTTGCGACAAGGATGCAAAACCATGACAAAGTGGAAAAAATAAAAGTTTACTGAGGTCTTTGGAGAGACTTGAGCACCAACCCTAAATTTGTCTACATGTATAATACAAAGTTTTTGCAGCAATGGTGCAAAACCATGATGAAGAAAAGTTAAATGTGGCTAAATGTAATTTAGGTTAAGTTAAACACGAAACAAGATTGCTGGCCAGCAGTCTCCCTCAGAGTGAATTTGGGGTGGTCAGGGGATTTGTGCAAGGGCGCCGCAATTTTACAGCTTGGCTTATCCCGCATCCTGCGTTTCCACTGTTTTTTTCAGGGTGACGGCACCATTCCCCGAGCTCATCGATTGTTGATGAGTTTAAAAGGTCTTTGGAGGCACTTGAGCACCAACCCTAAATTTGCCTACACGTACAATACAAAGTTTATTGTTTTAATCCTAAACCAAAAACCACAACATGTAGTTATAGTGTATGTATGAACATACCGTTTTTGCTTGCCCATGGGAGCCGTCAGCCATCAATTCCATACAAGTACTGATATAAAATTGCCACATTTTATCTGTTGGAAGCAACATCAAACGATCGGTTAACCTAATATAATGGCAGCAGTTTCTTTTACGTTCAGTAAGCTTGCTTTATTTCATTAAAACTTTCCCTGCAAGCTGTTAACATGTACTACATGTATGATCGCTGTCGAGAATCTCTAGATAGTACATTTTACACCACATACAGTCAACCCCCCAAACCTGACACCTTAGAAACTACAATTATTTGGTGTTTTTCACTGGCACAAAAGAAACATACACAGCATACAACTGTACCCAGCATACGCGACATTCGCAGATGCAGTAAAATGTTGATAATTCGCACCTTTTGTTATACGATTCCCAACAAAATGTGTTACTTAACAGCACCTCACTCCATCCTGTGTATGTTGCTTTTGCCTATGCTTGTGCACTAGTGAAAGCCAGCCTTAACTGGCGAAGTCTCTAAGTACCAAGATTTTTTTTTCAGTAGTTTGTCTTTGCCAGAACTTCAACTCCTGCAGCAGTGTCTGTAATGGTGAGGTGTCTACTATGCGGGAGTTGACTGCTAGTGACTTACAATCTGCACAGCATAATTATTCTTGCTAGCAAGCCAATCAGCTGCGAACAGGCACTTGGTAATGAAGCTACATGCAATCCGCAGGTGAGGAGAAAACATTAACTGGTCTATAAACCCCTGAGTACCAGACCTGGTTGCCATAGCAAGAGGGTTAAGACATATCAAGGGTAAAGGTGTAACAATCACCTGTTGGGACTTGCTCCACTGCCTGGTGATACAACTTGTTCATTTCTGTCTCAAGCTCACACCACTGATTATCTGCAATGATTTTCAATTTAAAGGAGCAAGGTCAGCTGATTACTAATGAGTATCCATGGTAACATTGATGAAACCCTAGAGGAAGTTGTGCAATGATAGGACGTAATACAACTTTCCGTTATTGGTGGTAACAAATATTTGAGATGAGAATCACAAACCTGTAATTACAGCTGTTCCTTTTTTTACTTGACGGTTGGCTTCATCAATGGCTCGACGAGCCACTAAATTCCAGACCTCCTCAGAGGTAGGAAAGTCTTTTAACAAGCTGTTTAGCATAAAAAGACAATCATACAATGTAAAAGCTACCACTTTTTAAAGACAACCTGTGTAAAGTGAAGTAAACATCTCCCTGATGGGGCTACTGTTGATTTAACTGTTTTATGCCTCTGCAGATGTTGATTTTCAAAGTCCACCTGTGTGAGGTGAATTAAAAATCAGTTCTTCCCGATGGGGCTGTTTTGTGCCCCTTTCACATTCTCATTTTCACAATTTAAATTTTAGATCCCACCACAAAATGATCTGCTCTTTTTTCCTTGTTTCTGACTTGTGGGCTGATTTAGACCAAGTTTACAGTTATACAAAGCTGTAATGTACACATGTACATATATACAGGTTACTATCCCCTGACAGTAATGAAAAGTTCTCAATCTCACAATCTGCCATCTTGTGGCTGCAAGGGGCAGAATTGTCTCACCAGGGGCAGAATTGTCTCTCTGTAGGGCTAAATTGTCTCACAATCATTATAGCTCCCAACTGTTATTGTACAGTTGCATGTCACACAAATAAACTGGCTAAAATCGGCAGACATTAAACCCACAGAACTCAGACTGAAACAGATATCAGAGAAAAGAAAATCTAAATGCAGTACTGACCGCAGCTGCCAATGAGTACATGCACTGTAATTTTAACATTCTGCAATATTTTGGGCAAGCATTATGTTCCCACACAAACCCTTATTATTTTGAATTTTAAGGAATCATTACATGTATGCTAATTTATATGTACATCGTGAGGTAGCTACACTTGTGATTTGAACATTGATAATAATAAATCATATAAAATAAACTACAATATTTAGACAGGAAGCCGCATCAGCCTTAGCTGATTTTCATGAAGTTCCTCGATCCAGGTCAAATTGAAATAAAAGTCTTGACTTACTAACTCCATGTAGTCAACTAAATGACATTTTTAATTATTAAGATTAGTACAGCTCATTAGTACAGCTCATTTTGGCGAATTGTACAGCACCTAGAGCAGGCATGGATAGCCGCTATATAAATATTTATTATTATTATTATTATTATTATTATTATTATTATTATTATTATTAATGGTTATTATAGAAAAGTAATACTGATGAAATAGTCAAGGTGTTAGAGTAGCGATAACAGTGAAAAAAAAGAAGCAGAAACCACGTAGACAGTACCTGTCATACACCATATCAATGCCATCTTTTGTATTTTCAAACAAGCGATAAACTTCAATGAAGGATACTCTAAATTTGATGTCGTCTGGAAAAGTACAATACAGAAAGGTTGCATTTACTTAGATATATTACTTATATTTCGAGAAAATTACATTTTGCCATACCCTTACAGTCAGCCAGGCAAGTGTGAATGGGTAACCATGGACGTACACTGTACACGTATTATTTATTTTTTATTATTATTTTTTTTTTTTTTTTTTTTTACAACTATATATAATTTCTCAAGTTGTGATTTGACATACGGTAGCTGTGTTACAGATGTAGAACATTCAAGACTAATGGCTGACTTAAGATTACTGAAAACAAATACATATATGTTATGTGCCAGGTGGGAGGTCCGTATAGTGAAAAACTGTGACCGAGGGCTTGAAAATGCTGCCCGAGGCCGCAGGTCAAAGGCAGCATTTTCAAGCCTGAAGCCTATCCATAACATGTTAATTTTTTTTCCTGCGGTACATTGGTTTTACAGATTACAAATGGGTTTGTTTAAACAGCTCGTATCATTGAATCAGCTTGCACACCGTCTACTAACGATTTGTAAAAAATCTTGGCAGCGAGCAACTCGGATAGTAGACAAAGAAAGATGTATTGAAGAACATATTTTTTTCGAACTACTTTATGTTAGTTGCATTTATTTCACCAATTAAGTTCTCCAAAATTGTTTTCGTGGCATGAAATTTCGTGCGAAGTCTTACTACAAAAACAGTTTCTGTCAGTCGTTGCTTTTAATTTCACTTGACATCAGACTTTTCTACCATAAATTGAATAGCAGAAAGTGAAGAAATTTGTTAAGTGTATTCCACAGAAATTCTCCTAAATACAGCAACGATCAGAGAGGCAAACTCAACTGAAATTGACTCAAATTTTATGGCGAGAGAAGCACAGGATTATGCACCATTACAGCGCCAAGCTACAAACAACCAAGCAACTCTCGCAACTTCAAAACACTCAATTGAATTTACTTACAGTAACTTTCCTTTCTATTTTAAATTGAACAGAGATAAACTTACGCTGACTAATCGTCAATGGATGTGTAAAAAAAGGCAAAAGATTGAAAATTGCCACTAACTTTTAGGAGCAAAGTTTAGGCAGCAGGGAAAAAATGTGGCCCGTGGGCCATATCATAAAAGGCTGGACCGGTCACGTGTGTATGATTAGGCAATCAAATTCAAGGATTTAGGATTCCGGCCCGCTCAGATGCTTGAGAAAAAAATAAATGTAAGTATCATCATGACATTACTCATTGACTATTCATTGTAACAATTCTTGACATTTCCATTCAAACAGTTTTGACTAACTATAGAAAGACATTAGCTGTTTGTTTTTCCATCAATTCTAAAATGTTGCAGTGAAGCTGTAAAAAATAATTAATAGTCAATAGATGGATTCAAAGGCTACAACTGTACAATATGCAATTTGCCACACGCAACTGATTGTATTCGAGTATGTACAAACAGGTCAATAATTATTATTGTAACTTCCCAAATGAATCATCATGTGATCTGAATTGGGTAGCAACGAGTATGTAGACACGTGAGACGAATCTGTCTATGGCACCTAGCAACTACATTTGTACATGTAACATTGCTAACAACTTACGGACCAATAAATAGAGGATATTACACGATGGCGAGAAGATATGAATTTTATGTTTTCATGGCAAGAGCAACATCTCACTCGTTTGCTGCTCTCATTCATGAGATATTGTTCTTGCCATGACAACATAAAATTCATATCTTCGAGCTAATGTGTATTGTTCTTTTTATTATATAGACATACTGATGACGGCGTTCTTGACGATTTTCCGAAGATTTCTGACCACTTTCTGAAGATCTCCGAAGATTCTCCAAAACTCATCCGAAGGTCACATGAACATTGCCGAACATTTTCTGGAAGTTTCCAAAGATTGCCGAAGATTACCGAAGATTGCCAAAGACTTTTGAGGAAGACCCGAAGATGTTTCGATGATACACGAACAAATTTAAGAACAATTTAAGAGACAAACTTGATATCAGTGAAATCATTGATATCCTTACTAATGAGGATATGGAAAATATGCCACTCGAGTCCCGGATGTGGTTTTGTATGAATTCTACGAGTGGTGTATTTTCCAGTAAAACACTCATGTCTATATAATAATACTGTGTATGTAACAGCACCTGGTATACTCTGTATTGCCTTTTTGTAAACAATTTCAGGAACTTTTCCTGCCAGAAATTCAGCAGTGACTTGTTCTTCTCCCTGGAAAATTAATGAAAAGAGTACATGTTGACCAGTCAAAAGTTAAGACCACACAATTTGACTCTCGATGCAGTAATCATTTAGTCAGTATGCCCATGGGTGGTTACATGAACACGAGTGTAAGAAAATTAATATGTCTATAGATCATACATAATTAAATTTTAATGGTATTCAAATATTTTTTTACTGCAGTTTAACAAAGATTACAAAACTTTGGCCTCAGGCCCACAATGCTGTACCTGAAAGGATAAACCTACATGTACCTCCTCTGCCCTCCCCCATGATGACTGTTGCTGCATGTACATGTGAAGGTAGATATCACCTAAAGCCTCGAAAAATTATTACAGTCGAACCCCTATTAAGCGGCCACCTATTAACAGCAATCCCTATCAGGGGCCAGTAATCAAAGTTCCAGTGAGGGTTTTTCTATTGTTTTTACCTCTTTTAAGGGCCAACCCCTTTTAAGCAGCCACTATCCATTTCCCTGAGGGTGGCTGTTTAATAGAGGTTGAACTGTAGTAAGAATTTTGCCAAAATGCCCAGGAAATGCCTAATTTCAAGCTCAGCACCATTTGATAACCAATACAAATTATCTCTTAATAGAATAAATATACATGTACTGTAGCAGCATGGTTCCCTCTCTCTGGCTTCAATTTGCCAGCTGACAAATATTGATTTCCAAACTACCATTCCCAGTTATGGTAATAAAATCATAACAAGTTTTATGTGTCTCAAGAAACTCTGACATAATTATATAAGTTACATCTGACACTCTCTCAACTTCCAATAATTCTCTTATGAGTGTACTGCTACACATACATACATGCATACATAACTTAATATTTACCCTCAGATTTCAGAGTAGCTTATGCAGCTAATATCTCTGAGCATTTAACCATCAGATAAGAGATAGAGTCCACAACACCGGGAACTACATCCCGTTCTCTTTTTGATCAGTGTGAGGGTTTTTTTACGTCCCACAGAATTAATTATGAAGGGTTGTGAGACGGGGCCTATGGTTTATCGTCCTTATCCGAGAAGACTAGAAAGTCTAACCATTTGCAGATGTCATTACAGAGACAACACTTTCTCCTCAATTATTTAAAGACCCTGAGTGTTGGTCCGGCCGGGGTTTAAACCCACGACCTCCCGTAC